ATCAAAGATGATATCCGAGGCGAATTTCCCGATGAGACCCTTTTTTCCCTTAAGGAAATTCGTCCTTGGTACGCTCACATTGTTAATTTCCTTGTTCTAAACAGGTTTCCACCAAGCTTTTCTAAAGCTCAAAGAGAGAAACTCCAGCATGATGCAAAGCAATACGTATGGGATGAACCATATTTATGGAAACATTGCAAAGATCAGGTCATTCGAAGATGCATTCCCGAAACAGAAATTGCATCCATACTTGCTTTTTGTCACTCACATGCATGTGGTGGCCACTTTGGAGGAAAACGAACATCCATGAAGGTACTTGAATCAAAAGAGGGATAGCCGAGGACCACACATTCGCCGGCCTCGAGTGAAATCCCCACAACTCAAAAGAGGGACAGCGGAGGACCGCGCACTCGCCGGTCTCAAGTGAAATCCCCATAAATCAAAAGAGGGAAGCCGAGGACCGCACACTCGCCGGCCTTGAGTGATAAAAAATAAAATCCCCACAAATCAAGCCACATATTTGGCTAAGTACATATCAGGCAAATACTATGCATTATGGACGAAGCAAGACCATACATGCGGATAAGACGAGCGCCCAACGACGTCCCTCATCTCAGACAAGTGCCCAGCGCCGTCCCTCATCTCAGACGAGCGCCCAGCGCTGTCCCTCATCTCAGACGAGCGCCCAGCGTCGTCCTTCATCTCAGACGAGCGCCCAGCGCCGTCCCTCATCTTAAACAAGCGCTCAGTGTCGTCCCTCATGTCAGACAAGCGCCTAACGCCGTCCTTCATCTCAGACGAGCGCCCAACGCCGTACCTTATCTCAGACGAGCGTCCAGCGCCGTCCCTTAGACGAGCACCCAGCGCCGTCCCTCATCTCAGATGAGCGCCCAACGCCATCCCTCATCTTCAGACGAGCGCCCAGCGCCTTCCCTCATCTTCAGACGAGCGCCCAACGTTGTCCCTCATCTTCAGACGAGCGCCCAACGCCGTCCCTCATCTTCAGACGAGTGCCCAAAAATAGTCCATCATTGGATCGGCTCTGCCGTCCTTCATGTTCAGTCCGGCATCATCACCTTGCCCTTCATCACATCATGACTGGTCCCTCGGCTTCAGCGTGATTATCTATCTCAAGACCGGCCTCCTCAGCGTCGAGAGTCTTGAGCCAGCGATCGGGCTCACCATCCCTTCCTGGATGGTGACTATCACCTCCGTATGACGGTCGGCTCATCATCGCCCCATCATCGTATTATAAGACCAGATCATCATCGCCATCGTCCTCATATCACGATTGGCCCCTCGGCCTCGGCGTGATTATCTATCTCAAGACCGACTTCCTCAGCTCCGAGAGTCTTGATCCAGCGATCGGGCTCGCCATCCATTCCTTGATGGTGACCATCGCCTCCGTACGACGGCCGACTCATCATTGCCCCATCATCATATTATAGGACCGGCTCATCATTACAGTCGTATTCATATCATGATTGGCCCCTCGGCCTCAGCATGATTCTATATCTCAAGACTGGCTTCCTCAGCGCCGAGAGTTTTGAGCTAGCGATTGGGCTCACCATCCCTTCCTGGATGGTGACCGTCGCCTTTATATGATGATCGGCTCATCATCGCCTCGTCATGATATTATAGGACCGGCTCATCATCGCCTTCATCCTCATATCATGACCGACCCCTGGGCCTCGACGTGATTATTTATCTCGAGACCGGTCTTAGTCATTCCTTTACCGGATGGCGACCGTTGCATGGATCTTCGGATCGGCCCCTCAGTGCCTTCGTCCTCATATCACGACCGGCCCCTCGACCTCGACGTGATTATTTATCTCGAGACCGGTCTTAGTCATTCCTTTACCGGATGACGACTATTGCATGGATTTTTGGACCGGCCCCTCGGTGCCTTCGTCCTCATATCACGACCGGCCACCCGGCCTCGGCGTGATTATCTATCTCAAGACCGGCCTCCTCGGCGCCGAGAGTCTTGAGATAGCGATCGGGCTCACCATCCCTTCCTGGATAGTGACCATCGCCTCTATATGACGGCCGGCTCATCATCGCCCCATCATCATATTATCGGATTGGCTCCTTCTCATCGTCATCCGCACATCACGAGCGGCCTTTCGGCCTCAATGTGATTATCTATCTCAAGTCCGGTTTCCTCAAAGCCGAGAGTCTTGAGCTCGCGATCGGCTCACCATCCCTTCCTGGATGGTGACTGTCGCCTTTATATGACGATCGACTCATCATCGCCTCGTGAACATATTATTGGATCGACTCCTCATCATCGCTGTCCGCACATCACGATCAGCCTCTTGGCCTCGCCGTGATGTTTTATCTCAAGACCGGCTCCCAGCGCCGAAGTCTTGTTATAGCGATTGGGCTCGCCATCCCTTCCTGGATGGTGACCGTCGCCTTTGTATGACGGTCGGCTCATCAGCGTCGTTGTCCTCATATTCAGACAGGTGTCCATTGCCTCGTCCACATGTTCGGATCGACTTGTCAGCGATGTCGTCCTCATATTCGGACCGACTCATCTGCGCCATCGTCCTCATATTCAGACAGGCGTCCACCGCCTCGTCCTCATATTCAGATATAGCGAACATCTTGTGGTCTCCGGCTGAAAGGCTAAAGGAGCTCAGAGTTCGGCCACATATCGCCCCGTCATCTTTATTTGATGACGTGAAGCTTATTTACAGGCCCAATCGACCATATATTGCTCGATCATCTTTATTTGATGATGAAGAGCTCATCTACAGGCCCATCGGCCATATATCGCTTTGTCATCTTTATTTGATGACGAGACTCATCTGCAGGCCCCTCGGCCATATATCGCTCGGTCATCTTTATTTGATGACGAAGAGCTAATCTAGAGGCCCATCGGCCATATATCGCTTTGTCATCTTTATTTGATGACGAAGAGCTCATCTACAGGCCCATCAGCAATATATCGCTCTGTCATTTTTATTTGATGACGAAGAGCTCATCTACAGGCCCATCAGCCATATATCGCTCTGTCATCTTTATTTGATGATGAAGAGCTCATCTACAGGCCCATCGGCCACATATCGTTCTGTCATCTTTATTTGATGACGAGGAACTCATTTGTAGGCCTCTGAGCCATATCTTGCTCCGTCATCTTTATTTCATGACGTGAAGCTCATTTGCAGGCCCGCCAGCCATGCATCACCTTGTCGTCTTTATTTGACGACGTGGAGCTCTTATGCAGGCCCCTCGGCCACACATCGCCCCGTCGTCCTTATTCGATGACGTGGAACTCTCATACAGGCCTCTCGCCCGTTAACCTCCTAGTCATCTTTATCTGATGACGTGGAGCTCATATCGGCCCATCAACCTTATATTCTGGTCATCTTTATTTGATGGACCAGACATCATATTATGGATGGTCGCTCGACCCATCCCTTAGTCATCTTTATTTGATGACTAGGACTAGTTATCATGCCGAGCTACTCACATCTAGAGACTGGTCTTGGCCATCCCCTCAACAGACGGACACCGTTGCAGCTCCACACCTAGGCCGAAGGGCTCGCCCCTTTTGCTTCATTTTTGGGGCATCCGGTGTTCTCTTTTCCCTCATTAAGATTTTTTCCCACTGAGTTTTTTCCTAATGAGGTTTTTAACGAGGCATCTCCCCAACGTGGACAAAGGGTGTCGACCCTCGGCCCCCTATTGAAGACATCACGAGACATGCACCATCCTACTCCTCTTCACCTCACTACATTCACCTCAAGGAGTGGGGGACTGGAAGAGCGGGGGACTTAGCGCCTCCGTTAACCAAAGAAGCAGAAATTCAAAATTTTTCACAAGTATTGTCACACGCACCGATGACATCGTCACATCATATGCAGATTCAGCTGCCTGCCACATCAGCCAGTACATATACATAGCTCCCCGGCCTCAAGATCGGTGGTGATGGTCTCTGGTCTGCGACCTTTGGCTGAGGATCCTCCCACAGGGTTGCCTCAGTCAGAGCTCGCCAATGGGATCGGATCATCGGCTTGGGAATTCGAGCGAGGCGCTTCGGCAACGACAGCGGTTTATTCACCAGACGACGACAGATCAGCACACAGTTCTACTCTCTTTTGCCTCGAGTACTCTCGACTCAGAGAGTGGGGGACTCCTCATAGAGTATATAGACTCAGACCCCCGGGTCTCACGACTATTGGACCCGGACAACGGCCCACATACGATCAGTAGATATCATTTATCTCATTGTACACTTTATTTTATTCATGTATATCCATTAGAATAGATTAAATACCATTTGTTAGCCATTTATTGGCCTTTTATTGTAACTGGGCCTTCCGGGCCCAAGCCTTGAAGCCCAACCCACTTTTCTCCTATAAATACTCCCCATGGGAGCCATGTAAAGGATGAGAAATTCATTATATATATCACTTTCTCTCTCTAGCTCTCACTTCTCTCTAGGAGTTAATACTCCATCAGAGTCATTATTGATGGAGAAGGAAACACTTGGACCAATGTAAGTAATTTACATATATTTTTATTCATAATTTTATTTGGTTTTAGAGGTATTATCTTGATAATTTGATTAGCTTGCTGTCCAAAGTGGTGTCCAAGGAAGTGATTTGTAGTTGAAGACTTTGTGTATTTGGAAGCTCTGTATTTGGAAGATTTTTAGTTGAACACTTTTCGTTGTACTGCAGGCATGAATTATGTATTTGATGTTCAATTACTTCAAGACTTTGTTGTATTTGGAAGCCATGTGTTGACTAAAGTTTGTGTGTTTCATAGTTTGTTTAATTACTTGAAAACTCGGTACTATTTGGAACCTTTGTTTTACTGTTGGTTATTCTTGATTTGTATGGAGGTTTAAGTCATGCTTTTAAGTCTGTTGTTTACTTTTAAGTCTGCAGTTTGTAGTCTATTAAATTATTTGCATACTTGGTACTTTACAATTCATGTCAAAAGAGTAACAATTTTTCATTACTTCAACGTCACAATAGTACAAAGGAATCCTACACATTACAATGCAACCAAATGCTAACAGAATAGTCTAACACCTCTCACAACTATTACCAGATCAAAACTAATCTAAAACACATAGCTAGAACTCTCAGAATCGTGCAACACACTACCAAGTTACTTATAATACAACACAATGCAAAACCCCATCCATGAGGCAAAAAAAGCAATCAATGCCATTTTGTGTGTCTTCGTTTTTTTGGTAATCAGTTGCTGGATTTCCTTATTTTTAGCTTTCATCATCTCTTTCTTACATTTCAGCCTAATGATCTTCTCCTCCAATGCTTTTTTATCCATCAAAAGTTGCTCCAACAACATATCCTTATCATTTCTCTCGTCTTCTTTGCAAGGAGGATTTTCTTCATCAAGCCATTGGAAATAATGACAATCTGCTTTTTGCAAGTGAACAATGAAAATGGTCATACAAAAATAGACAGAAGTATTAGTTTGAGTGTAATTGATTTCTTACATACGAAGTATATTATAAGAACTAACTCCAAACTTCTCAAGTTAAACCATTATGAAAAGAGAAAGTCGGAGGAGTACTCAAGAACTTACAGGCCACAGTGCACACCCATAGAATTGTCTCCTAGTATTTGGCCCGTTTTTCACCATTTTAGGTTCATAGGACACTCTGTGATAGCACTGATTTGAAAAACCACTGCTTTCAGTCCTTCTACCCCATGAAGATGACCCAGCAATCGAACCCATTTTGTCGTCGTGTGTCGTTGGTTGAGTTCTTGCATCGCGATTGAGAAGAAAAGAAGAAGACGATTTGGCTGTGTTCCTTTCACTGTGCTCACCTTTCATTTGGGTGGACGACAACGAAGATAAGAGGAGCATGGGTTTTAATGTATAATTAGTAATACATGTGCGCTGCACGTGTTTATTAGTTCTGGTTATAACTTATGTTAACCGGTCAGGGAGCATTTCAGGAAAAAGGGGCCCAAAGTTGGGACTACAGATACAGGGAAATAATCAATAATAGGAATTATTAAAAGCGGGTCGGGTATAGTTCGGATTATTATTACCTATTTTTCCTTTTTTTAAATTTGTCTTTTCGAATTTATTCATACCCCCCCCCCCACCCACCCCACCCCAAAACCCCCTAAACCACCCAACCCTACCCACCTAGCAGCCAATCAATGGGAAAGAATAAAAAATAAAAAAACTTGGGCCCAGACCAGCCGGACCAGTCCACCATTTCATCAGCCCGTAGCCCACCCCAATCTCCCCCGGTTCGGGCCCCCAGTCCTGATACTAGCTGACCGGGGCGGGTCGGGCCTGCACAGTACCGGGCTGGGACGAGTCCTGGTCTGGCCGACCCGTCCCAGTCCATCCCTACCTAGTGTGCAATTATGAAAGGGGATAAAAGTCAAATTGAACACTATAATTACATGAGAATCTCATATAAGGTTTCAAATGGAACAAATCATAATCCATAGTTTTTGTAGACTCACGATTCTTTGCTTCCTTTAATAAAAATTGTTAGTCTTATTTTTCCTATTTTTGGTGAAAATAAAGTAATTTAATTGAGGTTTATAATTTTGAAATATTTAATTTGAGGTTTTAGAAAATATGATTTTTTTTATAAACAACTTATATTTAACAAGTTAAAAATATATCTATGACTTTTCATTCATATGATTTTTATGAAATTTAGGGAAATATCAATTTGTTAAATTGATTTAACAATATTAAATAATTCAATTACATTATACGTAGTAATAGTTTTTAATAATCGGAACATCTAATTATATATTCTAAATCTAAATACATGAATTGAGCCTTTTTTATTTTTTAGGTACATAAAACAAAGAAAAAAAGGAATACTTATAACTTTCAAATGTGAAAAATTTTCGATGGGTATTTTTAAAAATGAGCAGAAAAACATTAAATTTGATCCTTTTGAAACTTTAGTGTCTAATATGAGATACTCATGTAACCATAATTTTCAATTTGGTTCATTTAAAATCTTAGTGACCAATGTGAGATTCACATGTAACCATAGTATTTTGGATAGTAGTGTAAGCAACATCTCCACAGTCTAATAACTTTGAGTGACCATATTTAAAATGTTAGTTTATTGCCCTTATACTATAAATAAATGTGAATTACATTATATATAGCAAAAAATTACACATTTAAAATTCAAAAGAGATGTACATAAAAGATATTGTGGTTAGGTCCCTTTTCAGATAGAAGCTTGTGTTTCATTTTTTAACAATAAGTCATAGTACTCAAATTTCATTATCACTGATGATAATGAAATTAATCAAAAGTGTGCGAAACATTCAAAGAAATACTATGATGTGCGCCTCATCACTCTTAGAAATTGCCGAAGGAAGACCGTGAGCATTAACTTTGATTTTCAAAAGTGCATCAAAAATTTAAAGAAAAATACTATGAGGTGCGCATCAAGGCAACCTACATGCCATCTTTCATTTTCCCAAGTCCCAACCATCCTTGTCACAAAAAAGTCTACCAAAAAATTGATAATAGAAATTTTGTTTTTAAAAAATAATACAAACAGATTTGAGATCAAGCTCGTCATGAGATAACGGGATTTAAACACATGGCCTTCTTTATTAAGAAATGAAGCACAAACTCCTGGCTGAAAATGAGCCAACCACAAGTACTTTTTTGTACTTTTCCCAATTCAAAATTATCAATTCTATACACGAAATTTAGACATCTTAAACATGACATTTCTGATTTTTTAAATACTCATTATTAAACATGACATTTCTGACATAGTACTAAGATTATACTGGTATATACCACTAAACTTTAACAAATTTGGAACCCAATATCTGGCAGGCCCTATTACATAGAACTGATTTATCATGTTCACTGGCCCCGCTGATTTGTTGAATTAAATGGAAGGATTATATATCATCAAAAATATATATATACACTAAACAGAGCATTTTCAAGTATGCTATAGACATACAATAACTATATTTATCGCAAGAGTAGTGGTTAGGCTGCTGTGGTCATGCAGTCTTCCCATGTCCCATACTTTGAGCTAAAACTTCCCCCGCCGCATCGCTGAGCATAATCGGAGATAGCTGCCCGAGTGCAACAATCCCAAGCCCTTGCAATATCTGCCAATGACATTGGTTGCGAAAGACTTCTAAGGGAGGTAGAAAGCCTCGACCTAATTACGCCAGACAAATTTTCATACTCTTTACTGTGGTCAAACAGATAATTGATATATATCAGTTTATTTTCTGTTGTTTGGGAGGGGGTATAAATTTAAAATGCAAAATGGCGTATTAGCTAACATCAAACACTGTAAATTTAAAAATAAGCATTAATAGTGATTACTACTGACCTGACATCAACTGGAAAGCTATCTATGAAAATTGGGGAGCAATTCGGATAATTTGCAGGAACAAGCAATCTCAATGACTGAATTGGCGACTGTCCAGTAAAACAAAATGAAACAAACTTAAAATAGAATTAATTGAAGTTTCTACTCAGCCTTGGGGGGGGGGGGCAGAAAAATACCGTTTGAGCCAAAGCACATTGTGATTTTAAATTTGGACTGAGAGCCACAGCCATAAAAGAGCACTTGACCATAGTGCCGCCTTTACCCCCATCAGTTGCAGCATCAGCAGCTAGAACACTTGGCTCATCACTGATTTCAACCACAGTATCAATCAATCGCTGATTAATCTCCGTTATCTCTTTAATGAGTGCATGGTCAACCTACAAAGGCAAACAAACCATTCTGTGTTGTCAAATGAGATACTCCATACGTCCTAAGATGTTCTTCCCACATAGTCATCCTTAAAAATTCTTCTCTCATTTCCTTTTAAGGAAAGAAGGGTGTAGTTCATATCAATTTCCTTCCTGATTAAATTTTGACCACACAACTTCACTGCATAAAACTGTATAAAAGCAAACATGGTGATCAAGTTAACAGAGGGAGTAAGTGGGATTAGATTACAATGGTTGAAAACTAAAGAGACAAGGTCCCAATTCATATGAATTCAAGTCATTAGGTTAGTTGAAGAGCCAGAGTATGACTAAAGTGAGGAGACTAATAGCATAGCATGTAATAGCAGCACTTGGTCTTGTAATTCTGCCATCATGAAATCTATCCACTTTTGTATTTCTCCATTTCCCATCTATCACTCTAGAACTTTCTTAACATGCCAAATTGCAGAAGCAACCTTTTCTGTGGCATCCTTCAAGAAATCTTTTTAGGTCATTCATTTGTGTATGGAACAAGTGCTGACCCCCTAAACGGTATTAAAAAATTCCACCAACGTACTTCTTTGTTTACATCTTCAGATCCTTGCTCTCAGGAACTTTCAACATGTCATCCCTAGAGTAATTTCAAACCGACCATAATTAGTGAAGTAAAAGATAGCCAGTGTTTGGTCACTTCATAATTTCAAAAGTTACATTAAGGTGGCGTGTCAAGTTGCCACTCAATTCCTCCCTAGATTTTCTGCACTGTCTTGTCAAAGAAATATTGTGTTGGTCCTTTTAATGGTGGCTGCCATCTAAGAACAAGTATCATCTTAAATGTATGTTTACTTTTTTTTTCTTCTTTTTAATGACAATCCTTTAAGAAATCATATTTCATTGCTAACATAGTTCGTCAACACTTTGTACTATCAGTCAAAGAAATTGTTTTCTTTAGGAGGAAGACTTGTCAGTTTCATATTCTTCCTACATGATGAGCAAAATTGCAATTCTAGAGTCCGTTTGGTAACACTGAAATTGGCTGTATTGGCTGATTTTGTTGATTTATGAAAAAATTATATTTAAAATATTTTTATTAATAAATGAAATAAAAAACTATATGAAAAATAGCTAAAATGATCATGTACAGTAACTTCAGCCAATGCAGCCAGAAAAGTAACTTCAACCTTACTTTTTCTTATTATTACACAATTTAACGCGTGAAATCAAAAGTTACGTGTTTGGTGAAAAAGCTGGCTGATAAGCCTGATAAGCCGAAAGAAGGGGTCACCAAATGGGCTCCTAGTTTCTAGTTATACCAACTTTTGTTCATATGCCGAAGGCACTTTGAAGCTACAACAATGTCTATCGGAAGCATGTAATGGAAATCAAACCTTAGAGTTTGGAAAAGTTCTAACTATTTGGGTGGTGCAGAGTATTGTACACAAACTTAATTAAGAACGCTTGATTAAGAACATTGTAAAATGATAACTGTGAAGTAATAAGACTGTGCCCTTACAATTTCCATAGATATCCTCACTCTTGAAGACTACAATTAAGCAAAAGCAAAAACTTGGAGCACTTTAGAAAAATGTATGCAATTTGTTAACTCAACTCGCCCTTTGCCTAACATTTTCAATCAAGTAAATTGGACCCGAAGGAAGGAAGCGTTATACCCTGTTGACTAACTCAATTACAATAGGACCACAAAGTCTCTTAACAGTGTGCAGCAGTACATTGCAAAGATTCGTGTAATGGGTTCAACAAGGCAGAATTATATGCAGAGTAACATAAGAAGAAAATAAATACTGTCAGTTGACACAGAAGATAAGGACACCATGCTTTAAGGTAGTAAGGACAAAGGGAATGAACGGAAAAGATTGATATGGTCAAAGACTTAGAGGAACAACCTGTTTTGGGTTCTACTCCCTCTCTCCCGCAGTTAAGTTCTCAATCCTTATCCGATGTCGACAATCAAGTTCCCACTTCTATATTTGGTAAAAATTGAGTGATAAAATGCCCTTACCCCTATGAAAAGGTACACCATTAAATAGTAATTTTTTCTATCATACTTTTTAAGAAAAGACTCGCTATTCTTTGTCTTGGGAATATGATGAAACAAAGCAAAATGACTCACTAAATTGTATGCGCTTCTTTGTTAAGAAGCGTGGTCAATCCAAGTAGTTTTCGCCGCGATTTTCATCATGGGTCATCCGGAAACAGCCTCTTTGTGCTTTAGTGCAGGGGAAAGGCTGCGTACATTCAGGGGCGGAGTCAGGGCACTGGGCCGGTACAAAGAATATTTTGGAAAAAAAATTACATGGAATTTTTTTATACGAAAAATATAGACATTTTTTAAATTTGGGCTAGACCGGAGCCGGGGTTGGCCCCCTAGCTACGCCACTGCGTACATCCGATCCCCCCTTACCCCATCGTAAGTGAGAGCCTTTGCGGCACTGGAGTAATGTTATACTTGTTGTATACTTTTGTAAGAAAAGACCGTTTGAGGAACGAGACAATCAGACAAAAGGTGGGAGTAGCGCACCTATTGAAGATAAGATTTGGGAGTCTCCATTGCAGTGGTTTGATCATGAGCGTAGAAGACCGAGTATGCACTTGCTAGACGTGTTGAGAGGTGTGGAGAAGAGGGAGAGGAAGACCCAAATAAACATGGATTAGAGGATATGCTTCTTCCTGGACTAGATGAGGGTATTACTTTGGAGAGAGCAAAGTGGAGGACGGGTATCACTAAGTACTCATAGTGCCCTTCATGAGTTCTAAAGGCAGTCTTATGAGTATCACTCTCCTTCATTCTGATCTGGTGATAACCAGATTTTAATTCCAGCTTAGAAAACAGTTTAGATCCTCCTAATTCATCCAGAAGTTCTTCAATAACTGGGATGGGAAACTTGTCGGGGACTGTTATTTTATTTAGAGCCCTGTAATCTCCAAAAAAATCTCCAGCCACCATCTTTTTTCTTAGCCAACAATACTGGACTGCTATTGGGACTATTGCTGTGTTTTATTATTCCTGAACAGAGCATTTCTTGTATGATTTTCTCAATCTCATTTGTCTGGTCATAAGAATACCTGCAAGGTCTAATATTAGGGATGTTGGCTCCTTCTATGATATTAATGGCATGATCACAAGATCTGACAGGTGGTGGATCCAGTTGAGATTTGAAAACTTCAGGAAATTCTTTCACAATTTTCTCCCAAGCATCATCTTGTACCTTACTTGGGTTTTGCTCAGTTTCTTGACCTTCACAATACAACAAATATCCATCTCCCAATTGTTGTAAAATGTGTGTCATAGTTTTCAATGAAACTTCCATATTATTCAAGGAAGCATCTCTTTGTATAATATAAATCTGCCCCTGCCCCTTCCATTTAATCGTCTGGTTTTGAAAGTTCACCTCCATATCCCCTAAACCAGTTAACCACTCCATCCCTAACACCACATCTGTTCCACCCAACTCCAACATGTAGAAGTTCTGTTGAATTTCATTCCCCTGCACATTCAACATCATTCCTTCGCATCTGCCACTATTAGGAATGAATTCCCCATTCCCAATTTGTACTTTATATCCCTTGATAAACTTGAAAGGTATTTTCCATCTTTTTACAAGTTTCTGGGATATGAAGTTGTGGGTAGCACCACTGTCAATCAAAATATTCACCTGTTGTTCACTTGCTGGCCATTTCAGTCTCCCCTTCACCTTGAAGGTGATACACGTCGTTTTGCTCGTGTGTACCAGAGGCGCATAAAAGGGGCCTAATTAATTGTCCACAAACTTTCCTAATTATTTCCCTTTAGTTATTCTAGTTGTTTCCTTTTATTCTGCTTTCCTTATGATAGAGTCTCGTCTATTAATACTAATAATAGATTTGGCCAAGTTTATTCTAGAAGGAAGTAGTAGTCTGTTATTATTAGTTTGATCCGTTATTAATAATAACTACCTTCAGCTGTGACTGAAAGGATATAAATAGAATAAACTTAGGCGGGAGGGGCAGGCTTTTTGATGCTTTGGCATTGGGACTGGGAGATTAGAGAATAGTTCTCTTCTCTTTGGGACTGGATTGTACTGTCTACCGCCATTAATGAGAGTTACTGTTTTTCTGAAGCTAGCTTGATCGTTATTTCTTCTGGTAATACTGCGTACTCTATCAGTGGTATCAGAGCACGTGTGATCGCTGAATGATCTTAACTCGTGCGAAAATGGAAGGGAGATTGACTGAGATGGAACGGAACCACAGGGAGATGCAACTGAACATGGAGACAAATCAAAGAGAGTACCAAGCTAATACTGAAAGGAATCAGCGTGATATGCACGCAATGATGTCTGCGATGCAAGCCAGCATCGCCGACATTCAGAGGAGAATGTCAGATCGATCGCGTAGCCAATCACATCACTCTAGTACCTCGCATCGTTCTTCTCACCGCCGACATGCGAGACGAACGGAAGGAATTGAAGATTCAGGTACTAATTCCGATCGTGACGATACTCACGATGATCGCGATCGTCATAGACACCACAGATGTCGCCCTACTGCAGGAAGGAAAATGGATTTACCTATTTTCAGTGGCGAAGATGTGTTTGGATGGTTAGTAAGGATGAACCGGTATTTCAGATTGAATCATACCGAGGAAGAGGATAAAATCGACGTAGCAGTGATAGCAATGGAGGACCAGGCCTTGAGCTGGTTCCAATGGTGGGAGGGACAAGCTCAACACATGAATTGGGAGTCGTTTACCAGGGATTTGACTAAACGATTCCAACCGGAATTAGTACAAGATCCGTTGGGACCACTATTCAGTTTAAAGCAGAAAGGGACCATAAAAGAGTACAGAAACAAATTTGAGGTTGCTATTGCTTCACAGAGCCACTTATCTGAAGAGGTTTTGAAAGGAGTGTTTCTAAAAGGTCTTCAACGTGACATCAGGGCTGAATTGAAACTCTATTCTACAAGGACTTTGGCTGAGATCATGGATAAAGCCTCACTTATTGAGAATA